CCATATTTAAGAACTGTTTAGTCTATCGCGTAAAGAAATTAGGGCTATTGGCATGTTTTAAAAGGGGGCGGGGATATGATTAGACAGAACTCACCCAGACGATCTTAACAGCTATATCAAAGCCAGATGCTATGCGTGAGAACGAGGGAGATTCGTGTCTAACACATGCCCGTAACTTAAAGAATAAAATCCGGAGGAAACTGAACTGTAGTAGTCTGTTGTTTTTTGGTCACGCAGGAAAAGCACTACGTTGAAAGTCAAAGCCGACGATCCAGTAGTTAGTTCTACAACGGACATAAATTGGCTTTAGAAACCAAATACAGGTTAATCTACTAGTGAGTTTCCAGCAATCTGATTAAAATACCGATCTATATTTCGTTTCGTTTTTTTTATACTTTCGATGGCCTACACTACATGAAGATCTGACAAGTTATAGCGATAGGTCACGTCAGGGGTCAAAAGACCGACTTATGACCCTATGATGTCAGACATTTGATTAATCAATCAACATTGATGTTACTAGTGGATTACCAACGGTTCCGTGCAAAACACGCCTAAAGCTCGCCGTGACACACCGTTTCATTGTCTTATCCCTGACACCATTCAGAACACGAGTTAAATAACAACTCTTCCAGATCCAAGTGTAGTAAAGACAAGTAAAACGAAATTTTGAACTATAAAAACGAAACGATATCACCTTAGGTGGAAGTGGACGTAAAACCCCAGAAACGAACGAACGAACGGATCTGTGTTTTAACCAGATTGAGTTCCCAGAGGACATCTGTGCATATTTATTTCCTTGACGTATTTTCTTTGGCGTAAAGAGTTTTTCTCCATTGTTCTTAACTGTCTTCCAGGGTGGGACTAATGAAATTGCGGGGTTTTGGCTAGCAACCCGATCACCCAGTATCTAAAAGACACTGGGGGCACGTGGGTAGGAAGGTATGTACGCTTAAAAATGCATTTTAAACATTTTTGGAAACAAACAATCTCATTAAAATACAGATTTATATTTCGTTTCGAAGTTTTATATTTTCGATGGCCTCTACTACATGGAGATCTGGCCGGTTGTAGTGGAAGGTCGCGTCATCAGATTGGGAATCAAAGTGAACCGTTTGCATTAAATACATTAAAGATAAAAATTCGAGATTATTACTGAAACGAACAAAATATAAAATGAACCGATTGGACTTTCTCGAATTTATTAATGAATAAAATTCATTTGAAATAAAGATTCTAGATCATTAGTGAAAACAACAAAATATATTTCTCTAAAATTAATACATCAATGTATAAGTCATAATAGGGAACCACGGTGGCTCAGTGAGTAAGACGTTGGCTCGCTAACCTGGAGATCCTGTGTTCGATCCCGGTGTCAGTGGGGAATTGCAAGGAACAACATAATATAGAACATATGGAACTAACAACTGGGGTCCTGTGGACACATTGACAGCTTGAATTCAATATAAAAATCGCCGCTGTTCTGGCAAAGATCCCTTCGCATTCAGTTGGAATTAGATATAAGAGTAGGCCGGGCAAAATTGCCCTCATAGCACACTGTATGGCGCATGCCCGTCTTTATTAGGCCAGTCGGAGCAGAACAGCTGGACGTTAAACCCCATATTATTTCATTTACAAGATTAAGAGATGGTATTATGTCGTGAATTCCGCTATATAATTGGATATATTGCCTTAAAAGGCAATTTACCCCTAAGGTGTTTATGCAATAATATGATCTATTTTCAGCAATTTCAATCGGTTTCATAGAAAGAAATTGTTGAGGCATGTGGAAATTTGTAGTGATACTGAGTATTCTCGAGTTGTTACGGGAAACTGAATCTTTGGATGAGATACGATATCCTGATGATGCCAGTGTATATATTGGTGGATTTTTTAGTGTTTATCTTCCTGGATCCAGTGGTTGTTCCAGTACCGCTGATCCATATTCTATACAGGAATTTGAAGCTGTGAGATGGATCATAGATAAACTGAATAATAACGGATTTCTAAATGGTGGTGACAAAATAGGTAAGCGTTTTTTTTAAAAAAAAAAGGTTGTAGTTTTAATTTCATTGATCTATCCTTACATTTGTTTATTCATTGATTTTGTCTTTATGGAGTCAATTTTGGGAACCGAACAAAACATCTTGATTCTAATAAACGAACAAATATTTGTATTTGGGACAAGACAAAAATGACAAGGAAGTTTTGTTTACTTCCCTTGTAATGATTTTATATCAGTGAACAACTATAGAAGATAAGTGTATTATATTATAGACCCGGGCTGATTTGTTCAAACATTTTAACCCAGTCGGAAGTACATTAACGTATTGGTTATTGCAAAAGATCAGTCTTCAAATTACGGAAAATACACAAATATGGAAATGTATTAAATGTAACACTATACAAAGGTCAGGACTGGATCTTCAGCTAACACTACTCTTTTTTTTTTATTAAAATAGAGGAAAATAGCACATATTAAAGGTGTATATTGGCTCCTGATATACCTCTATTTAAGAAACAATGAATATGTTGAAAACATTCCCCTACAATGGTCTCTGTAAGATAACAACATCAATATTGATGAAATGGACAGATATTGTATTAGATTTCGTATTGTTAATATCTAATATTAGGAATAATATTAATTTAGAGGTATACGCACTTTAATATACATAATGTAAAAGCCTAGGCTAGATGTACAGTACCGAATTCTGCCAAGGTTTGCCGAGTGGATGTCAGACCTCTTCCGTTTTAAAATGTCGGCCGTAGCTTTGATTTAAAAAAGATGAGAGATGATTTTTACCCATGTCCGGTAGATATTATATGCTTAATTGTAGTTGTGTAGGACAGGAATGTAATAAATAACAATAATCAATCGTTTTTGGGTAGACAAAATTGACAATTTTGCTTTGTGAATTTCTGTGATTCACATGGGCATCTCCCAGAAAGAATTATATAGTGCCATCTCGAGACACAAATGGTATTATCCGTTGATTTGATTTAACTAGTGTTTATATAGATTGTCTACCAAAAACAAATAACATAGAAAATATAATCATATTGACAGGTATACATGCTTATAAAACTTGTGGTGTACCGGAAATGGCGGCCTCATCGGCTATCGACTTATCACAGACGTATTCCAACATCTCCCAGTCACCATTTCTGTTTGGTATGTATATTTCCTTGCTTCAGAACACTCTGTTACGTACAGACACGCACTGCTTGAGCTAGAAATCCATATGTACTTTGTGAATAGCAATGCTTAGTACTAATCTACATTTCCGTGCTTTAGCATAGTGACTGTTTCCATACATATTAACGTAAACAAACAAAACAAAAAAAGGTTGCATGTGTGGGCACATATGAGAAAGAGCAGGGTTAAATTTCCCTTCAGACATCACGTGGGCTTCCTAATGAGATATACCGTTACCCGCCTCGGCTTACAGGCCGGGCGAGAACCTGTAGAACTATCAAGAAGTGTGTGGCCCTTGCCACCTTTAGGAATCTAAGGGAAATTCAGACATCATGCATGGTTATTTGAAGGACGTACTATCATCCCTTGGTTCGAGACTGGAATAGAGACAATGTGGTGTTTCATCCGTTAGGCCTGAGTTCTAGGCCTGTTAAACTCAGATTGTAGATATTATAAGAACTCCTAATGTAATATCATAGATGTTGTAGTTTCATGTATTTGATATATAAACACGGTGTCCCAGAGTTAATTGATCATATACACAGCGTGAATGGCCTGGCTAGATAAGTGTTACACCCTAGTGCTGGCTGCGGAGGGGCAGTGTATCGGTAAAACGTGATGCTTGTCTAGTTGTCTAGTCGTTTTGATGGGACCGAAAACAGGAGTTTATCTGTGAGGGAAACGCGAAATGTCCGGACACGTACTCCTAACTCGGAGTGCACACGTAACTGTAATCGAAGTAGTGTGTTGGTGAGTGCTGCACATACATGTAGAGAACTATCTACTCTGCCCTAAATGACCGCCATATTGAACAATTAGTATAAGCTAAAAGACTAATTAAACTTTTCAGTTTACTAAATAAAAGCAGAATATATACTCGAAACATACTAAAATACTCAGTGTTTTCGGCTTAAATCGTCGATTAAGGAGTTATGTCGGTCAAATACCATTGTGTCCGTTCTCTAGCGGAGCTAAATGTAAATCGACAGCGTAAGTTCAGTGTAGTGTTGGTGCGGCAATAAACTCCATTCCATTCCATTGCTTTCGGTCAAAATGTTTAGCGTGCTCCTTGAATGTTTTTTCGCAGCAGTTATTCATTTTATACGACTATGGATTTAACCGAGGAAATCCCCAGTTGATGTCATATGGTCGGAATTTCCTAAAGACGTACTGACTGCAGGTTATTGGATTAATTGGTTGTTTATACACAGGACTCCATTATATCGCGTATCGAATGCCACCTGATATAACTTATCATTTCTGATACTATACGTTTCAGCTTTACTGAGTCCAACAAAAAGTTCCGAGGCCAAACCTGTTTCTCGTTTGTTCAGTCTCCTACCCGAGAATGATCGTTTGCTGATGTTGAGTTTTGGCGCCACATCGACTAAATTAGCAGACCAATCCCTCTATAAGAACTTTTACCGAGTTATTCCACCTGATAGCGTACAAGTTCAAGTAAGTTTTAATTATTTTCATTTCTTGTGAAATTGTGTTCATTTGATACCTGGGAAAGCGACCAAAGAGTTGCCATGGCTGCGCAAAATATATCACTGGGCTGGGGGAATTTGAAAGTTCAGTGTAGTGTTATACAATGGCCAATGACGGTCCCCGATAAAGGTGTCATAAAAAGCCACTGGACACAAATTAACAATTGCACAGTGAGCCCCCTACAGAAAAGAAATGAAATGAAATGGGGTTTAACGTCCTACTATTCTGCCCAGACTGGGCTAATGAAGACCGCCTCCAGAAAAGAACAAAAGTACATTTTTTGCTGTTTTTTGTTTGTTTTCTGTAGGTAATGTTGGAGTTAATGTTGGAATTGCAATGGAACTACGTAGGGATAATTTATGAAGATGACGATTATGGTAAAGATGCAGCTCAACTTCTGAAAAAACTGACATCGGGTAAAGGCATCTGCGTTCCTGTTTACTCTTCGTTTAATAACACAAATAGTGACGATACGTTTCAACTATTTGTAAAGAATATTTTGGATCTTAAAGTGGGTGGCATCATTTATATTGGCTCCGAGAATTTAATTACGAAATTGTTGGGATTATTCCAGTCGTCGTCTTTAGTCCGTGACATTGAAATAATCCTATCAGAATCCAATAGACTGAATTCTCTTTATTTACGGAGACTTGGGCAAGAATATTTCTCCATTTCTAGAGGAATATTGGTAACAAGTGCCCCTAAAATTGAGTTACAGGAATTTACTGAATACTGGAAAAACATAAAGACCAAAACATTTTCCCAGTCGTGGATTAGTGAAACAGGCGATGCTGGGATTCTGGATTCTAAACAATCTGTGTATGTAAATTACGCTGTGAAAGCAGTTTTGGTTTTAGCTAATCTGTTAAAGAAACTGAGTCAAAAGCATTGTAGTGGTAGCAATACCATTTGTCCACAACTTCGTCATTTATCTAAACAAACATATATTGATGAAATGGCCGACTTAAAAATAAATCTTACGGCAGAATTTCCATACACATCCCAAATGTTCCAGAATACCTTAGCTGAGAATATCACTTTCAAAACCAACAGAGAAATTAACTACAACTCCGAACCGAATCGGCAAGAATACGAAGTCTTTAACTTTCAACAATGCACTGGAGTTACAAACTGCAGATTTATAAAGGTAAAAAGTTCATTTACAATAGTTCTAATAATAATTAGCGAAAGGTTCAATGCACCCGTTTTCCCGAACGTTTATGTTTAAGCCTGGAGGACAACAAACCAGAGCTAACCATGACAAAAAGATCATGTTTCAACTGATTACTAAGCTATTTGTTAGGATGACTACAGAAACCTGTAAGACAAACTTGTAAAAAAAAAACTAAACTCGACCCCAAGGACAATATTATATTTCCCAAACCCATACGATGCTGTACCAAGGTTTAACACCGTAAACTAGGGATGGACAACCTTTTACATACCACGCGTCAATTTATTCACACAAATTCTGATGCGCCATTCAACTCTTGAACTGAGATTGAATTAATGTGAAAGAAGATATATAGCATTCGCTAAAAGCATGTGCACGAAATAATAAAATCGCTAAAATAATGATTCTATTTCATCGGTTTTCTATATTTCTACCCGATGTAGTTTGTCTTCTTCAGGTTGGTGATTACAGACTGGGGACGCTGAGTCTAAGCAGATCTCTCATAAGTAGTTATCCTTTGGGAGAGAGCCAAGGCCCAAACACCAGATTTCCATCTGTTCAATGTCCTAACGGGACTGACTGTATAAAATGTATCCCGTCTGATATATCTGACCATGTTATATTTGTGGAAGGAGATTGGTACGTTGTGGCGGTTGTCCCTGTATTTATACCTGATGAAACAAATGCATTAATCTGCACTAACACCATCAGAGATTCTTTGGGGAATGACATCGCCGAAAGCATCAAATTTGCTATTGAGGAGATTAACAACCCAAACAACACATTGATATCTTCTAAAAAGAAATTAGGGTTGATTGTGATAAATGGGTGTGCATCTGAACTTGTAATTAAAGACAAAATGTTACGTTTACACAAAGGAACTTATGAACTCAGACCCGGAATGAAAAGTTCAGAGATTAATCACAGATTTCTTGGTTATGTTGGAGGGATGAGCGGAAGTATGAGTGCGGCCATGGCTGCAGTTCTGGCTAAACTTGGTTACATCCAAGTATCCTACGCCTCGACCAGCCCACTTCTTAGTGACAGAACTCTTTATCCCTATTTTCTGAGAATACCTACTGCAGACGACCAACAAGCAAAAGTCGTTATTGATATAGTTACCTCCCTTGATTCAAACATCATCCAAGTTATTTACACCGAGGGGGCCTATGGAGGTGGTGCTCATTCCACATTGGAGAAACTTGGCAAGGACGCAGGAGTATGCGTTATAGGTCATCAAATTCCCGTAACCACCGAATACACTTTGTATAATGGTTTGCTGGCTAAGTTAAGAGAAACTCCACAAGCTAAGTTAGTGGTGACTTTTGTAAGGTCACATGTTTTTGAGCAAGTTGTAAAAGCTGTGACTGAGAGAATGGCGGAAAGTGAATTCATATTTATTGGATCTGAAACATGGGGAAGCAGAGAAAGTGTCATTCCTGAACAGCAACGCAACGTTTATGGGTCTCTGAGTATTGCTTTAGAGTTGCCTAACATTCCAGCATTCGTCTCCTATCTCACCAAGCTAAATATCAATGACCCGTCTGATCCATGGCTCCGTCAATTCTTAGAAAAGGGAGGAAAGTGCATATTTACCGGAAGTTTCCAAAGAGCTGTGAAAGACGAAGTCCTTGGTAAAACCAAAGAGTGTGACTTGGAAAGTTTGGCGAAGTCACTTTATGACCAATGGATACCATTTGCTGTGGCCTCAACAAAGGCTTTGGTTAAAGGCTTAGAAAATGTTCTCAGTTCTACACAATGTGGTCAGCCTGCAACGTCGTGCCCTGAACAAAACCCCTCACTGTTGGCAGAATACATGAAGAAGGTATGTATCCCTTTCTTTGTAGCGAATCCAAAATAGTACCAGGAGATGGTCCAGTACATATCCAGTACATTATAGTACTAATTAATTTATTACCATTTTAGTTTCTTAGCCTTTGGTAGACAACCCGAATCCTGACCATTGTTAGACAGAAAGGAATTAAAATGAAACTAAGTAGTAATCATAGACTTGGTACTGAAGGAAAACTCTTTCTCTCTTTATTAAAATAAACAAATGCTCTTAATAACTTTCGTCCCGTCTTCATTAGACCGGTTGGTGCAGGAAACTTCATTCATTCATTCACTCTTAGGTTTCGTAGAATATCGACCAACATATGCGCAGTTTGATGATGACTGGGAGTAAAGCTAAAAGTGATGTTTGGTTGGTCAAAATTAGAATTTAGTACGTTTATTTTTATTTTTTACAGAATGTGAAGTTAGATTTATATGGTAAAGGCAGCCAGGAAAGAGTTTTTGATGATAATGGTGATGGTGTTGTCAAATACAAAATAATGCATATTGCTGCAGGAGGAAAACCATATACACAAGTAGGCATTGCACTCCATTTATAAAAATATAAATATCTTGCTACGCATTAATATGTAAGATTTAGCGCTTTCGAGTTGAACACGGGCCCTCTTCCACGGTGTTTTGCCGTAACTTGATGCTTACCTGGTTGGACATCCTTTTGATGAAGCCAAGGTGGCTCACACACCAGGAAGTCCCAGTTTCTTGTTGCATATGACATGGTTATGGTTTACTTACGAAGAGGTCCCAGTTTCGATACCGTTGTTAACGGGTTCGGGACGAAATCCCAAGGTCCTGTGTACATTGGCCGTTGGAATTTGAAATAAAAGTGGATCCTAGAACCTCAATTAGTGCAGAAAAGAAGTAAGTTCAACCCTGGTTCGGTTTATTTTACATTCCTTTCAATTTAAATACAGTCTTAGATAGGTTTTATTGACTTTTTGGTCTAAAATCGGAGAAGGATATTTTGGTGAATATTCATGATTTTTTTATTTGGCGGAAGGATCTAGGAAATAAACCGACATAAATCAGGGTGATCGCCTACTAAAATGACGTCATTGTCTATACATTCTTTTGAACGGGCCTAGCAAACTATCGTAATGGTCAATCCCTTTCGCAATTTTTATTCAGATAATTGTGACATTTTTAATGTCTTTGTGGTTCTGAAGATTAAGATCATCGGATCTTACAGGCCAAGAAATACCATGGATTTAACATTGAAGTTATTGGGGGAGAAAACTGAAACCAATATCGAATTTCTCCAATCTGATTGCTTTTATAAATCAACACAGTGAATATATTTTGATATTTTATCAGGTTGGGTCATGGTCCAAATCACAAGGCATCATCTTCGATAAAGATTCGTTAACCTACCCTGTTACAGATTATAATTCTGTATGTCTAACAGATCATACATGCAACAAATGTTTCCCTGACAAGATGCAGTAAGTATACATACAATAAAAGTTCCATCAATTTAAAAGGTTCAAAATAACAAAAAATAGATTGAATGATTCCCCGGACTGAACTGGGTTTTTTTCCCCAGTCAGCAGTTGAGGACAGTCTACTCGTTTAAAGACCAAAGTTACCCTTATTGGTAGTTTTCAATGGTGACTCTCAAACAATATGTTATGCCATACTGCATGTATGAAATGGGGGTTAACGTCGTACCTTTCTGCACCTACCGGGCTTATAAAGACGGGCTATGAGAGAAATTGAATTCCAACTATCAAGGTTTATTTTACGTACACGCCAACGTATCACCCGTACCACTGAGCGCTGACACGGGGAAACCACACCGGAAATCATGAGGATAATTCGTGTCCAATAGCGGGGTCGCAACTAACACGACTGTTCTCATACCTACGGACGGTTCTCAACAACCAATGGTGGATCTAGTAGGGTGCGCACCCGGCGCACGAACCCTCCCCTATCTAGACCAGGGGTGCACTTTAGAAACGGATTCTTGTCTCAGATCACTGGAAATGGCTTTTCCGGACTTCTAGCTTGCCTTTTCATTTATTATATAAAATTTTCAGGAAAGAAAGTCCGAAGAAGTCCACAGATTTGACAACTCCTGCTCTCGGTGTGCTAGCATGTCTCCTGGGTATTGCCGTTGTCATTATAGTCATTCAGTGTTACCGATCGCGTCGTGATTTAACATTGAAGGAACCACATTATGCTGAAGCCGTGGACAACTGTAGGAATGATAACGGTAACTTCGATTTATATTGTACTTAAAATAAATATCTTTAGTGTTTCCAAGATGAAATTTAGATCAATCAGAGTATGTTCTGTTCCAGTGGCTTGCAGAGAAGTGGGTAGATGGGGCGACGGCCGCGGACATCCATGTCAGGGTGGCATCTAGAAATGGTTCCTTTGAGCAGGTATTGTCATCATCATTTGATGACAAAAAAGTTACTGACCTATAACTCTCTTAATGTCCAATTAAACTGACCCCGAACTGTACTGCACATAGCTTGACATATAGTAAACCAATACCCATTGAAATAAAGGTGAAACCTTACTGCATAATTATATGATTTGATAAAAACTGCTAAGCGAAATTTCTGTCCATTTTTCTGTCCCCCGAAACAAAATTAGAACACGACGTTATTTCACAACAGCTCAAAAATACAGAAAAACTGTTCGGTAAGATAAGTTTAAGATTTCGGTGTTCCACTTTTAACTATTTGTGACATAATTACTTATTTCCATGCAAACGTTGAAAATTTTGGAATTGAAACTATTTTAACTTGCGCAAAGACCCAAATAATGTTCCGTGCAAGATACGGACGCAGCTACAATATTGCAGCTATGTGGCATCCAAGCAACGAGTGGATTTAAAATTATTATTTCTTCTGTTTTTACATATTTAAAATATCTCCCTCTATCACAGTTCTGAGGCATACAATCAAGGGGTTGGCCCCCCAGCATCAGCGAACCTGTGAACTCCTTCACGGTGATTAATCTAATTTACTTATTTTCATTATGGTTGTTATTACAGACAGAGATTCGACCAATCGTTCAGATTGGTATTTAACAGTCTCGTCCACTAGCGGTTCAGGGTCGCACACTCATTCGACAGATGACACGTATTTAACAGCTCAGACAGATGACACGTATTTAAAAGCTCAGCCAGATGAAACACCCCAACCATGCCAATCAATACCATCTATCAGTAATTAATTATATGTTTTCACCTTTTTCTCCCTTTTGTGTGATGAAGCTTTTGTAGGCCAAAAGGCCCCCATTTCGATTCCCGGTGTGGACCGAGTACGTCTTTCGCGATTTTTCAAGATGGCCTTCACTCGCCAGGGGTGGCGCTTGCAAAGCTGGCAAAGGAAGTATGTCTGGTCGGTTTGAGGGAGATTACAAAACGACAAAAATAGTAAGAAGTCTGTGCATTACCATGTTGTTATTAAGTATAGAATAAATAAAAACAAGGTAATGCACGGAATATTCCTATTTTTCTCGTTTTCCCTTGGCTAGTGACATTCAATTACTTTTTTAAATTATCAGATATCCTCTCATAGCCTAACATAACAACTCTTGGTCTTCGAAGGAATTATTAGAGAGCAGACATTTGCCCGTGTATCCGTTATCAGTCGTCACTTCAGTCAGTTATATAGAAGGATAACTCGTGTTTTCCTTTTGCTTTTGTCACTTTCTTTTTTTTGAAATCTTCATAACGCATCTATCGTAGCAATGATCTCTGTATTAAAGTTATATTTGGAACGTGTTAACCAGTTTTATCACATATGTGATAATGACTGACACCAATATTGTCCTTTAATTGTTTATTTTTGCATGTAGATTCTTTTGCTACTCTCCTCTTTGTGGATGACAGGAATATTGGTACACGGATATCAAGATATACATGGTTGCTGTCATTAAAAAGTTTGATCATGAATATAAGTTGCAAGAATACATTATCTATGAATATTAACGAGTGTTGTTTGTAAACTAAGAACGAAACTTATCCCCATGCGCTACTCATCTTCATGTTGCTTTTCTTGTTATTTATCTCCCTTGAGTGGTAAAATCATACAATATTTACAATTGATCAAAAGTTATTCTCTTGTAAAACGAAAACCACTAACTATTCCAAGCACAATTCTAACTCTTTTGGTATTATTCTGACTTCCTCGCAGAATATGTTTGAATATGTCAAAGGGGACATTTTAAAATAAATGAAATGAAACGTTCTACCATTCTAAGCAACAGATATAATGGAGATGGACACATCACATGCAATGTGATAAATTTTTCCCCTGCAGCGGCGTTTCCGGACAGCGACGTTTCCAAACAGTGGGCTTTCCCGGCCAGCCACGTTTTTGGACAGTAGGCATACGCGGAGGAACCTCAATTTTCTTTCATCTAAACGGTTTTCCTTGCTAAGCCCCCGGCCAACATCGGGATCGAACTTGGAACCTCCTTGTTAGTGAGCCAACCCCCGGTTCTGCATCTCGGCCACCACCGCAATCGATCCCGGAACTTCCTTGTTAGCTAGCCCACAACCTAACCCAGCATTTAAAAAAATTACAGGATTATCTTCATACGTTTTCGTAAATTTCCATTATATTGAGCTATATCCCAATAAACGAGATGTGTTGATATATATAATTATGAGAATGTATGTGTATTTTGATTAATGATATTACTGACTGATTTCAGTTTGATTGTAAACGCTTGTATTTCTTTGTTATGAATAATTAAAAACTTGCATTTACAGAATTGTTTTTATTATACGCCATCGTTTCATTGTCGTCGCATCTGCCCGTCCACAAGTTGTTTCAACACCACAGAGAATAACTAGAATGAAAACTTAAACTAAATTTGAATACTGATGGTTCATTGGCTGAGCACAAGAATCATAGCACAAAGTTTAGCTCTTGGCCTATGAAAAGCCTGCAATCTCCATATTTATTAGTTAATATGTTCTTAAATAAGTCCCCAGTTTTCCTAAGTTTTGACATATCTGGATATGTACTTTCGGGTTTATATATAGTATATAGTCATTTCTATAGGCCCACATTGAACGGTTACCCCGTGCGTTTTGCCGCCGATGGACTGTCCGGTGTCAACAATTGCTTGTTCTAAAGGATAAAGTTATCACCCAATTGATTAGAAATATATACACGGTGTTTATGTTTAGCGATTTCAATGATTTCGTATAAATTCTGTCCGAATTAATCATTTGAAAAATCTTATGGACGCCCTGGAGGTTAAAGTTATCTTCGGGTTGAATTAGATTTGATACACAGTGATTATGTTAATGAGCCGAAAAATCCTATTGATTTTCTGAATCCTACGGATGCCCATGACGATTGTTCGCGGGTCCTCTAAAGCTAAGGTTACCATCCCATAAAATTTAAATGAAACGCAGTACTCGTGTTCACGAGACTAAAATAATTCGAACAGCTAAAGTTATAATCTGATTATGGGTACATGTTTTGAACAAAAAATGTAATAAATGTTTGCACTATTGTAGCATAGTTGGTCGAATATGGAAAGCGAAACTACCAAAGCTTACCACATCCGACGTGTGACACCATCCCTGTTACACATACTTCGACCACAGGCACTTGAAGGGATTAATATAAAAACTTCTTACTACTGCTTGACTATATATTATACTACCAATACAATGTCTCGGCTTCCATTGTCTTACTTACGGCAACCAAATTGTATATATATATATATATATATATATATAGCAGGAACACGGGAGTTTTCTTAGAAATGTTTTTATATCAAACATGATTCAAAGTTGACAAGTATAAGTCTACTTAAAACTCAAATATAATATATCTTTCAGTCCCTGTCAACCCCACTAAACTCGATCTCTAACCGCTGGAAAACTTTACATCTGTTCTTCCTAAGAATTGAATTGGCTATAACGCCATCTCACTAGTTTATTATTTGATTGGTTAAATTTGACCAAACAGAGTACAAATTCCCTTACATGGAGATGGGCGTGTAGGCCTATATCTTTTCATTTCCTAATTTGGTCAGCTAGATATATTACGTCACTATCGGTACATACCACTATTTAATGTCATAAACAAGAGAGGATATGGTGTTTTTGATAAAGGAAAAGGAAATACTAGTCGGACTCTTATATTTTGTTAACCGCTGTGTTATTTTAATATATAAATATATCATCTATTTCCGCAGCATTACATGATATCTATCGTATAAAACTTGTTAAGGAATTTGAAAGCAATATTGCCGGGGTTGTAATATTGCATTAAAAGGTGTAAAAGTTCATCAGTCTCTTATGTCCCATGAATTCACCTTAAACCAACATAACTAATGTAAATGTCCATTGGTTCTCTTCAAGTGCCCAAATTGAAAACCACTATAACGCTGTAAGTCCTATTTTTAAATAATATTACACTGGTTGCTGTCAACATAACTACTAAACAAATAATGGTCATGTCCTCTAGGAATACTGATGTATTCCCCCCCCCCACCCCCAACTGTTGAAAAAAAAAAATCAGTACTTCGTTGAGGATTGGTTGGGATAAAGTACATTATATCCGTCAAATCTAAGTATGTCATAGTTCAGATCAGAAATTAATTACTTCTAATTTAAATTCTTAATCCTGTTGGTAACCCTTAATATTATTTAAAATTAACCTTTAATTAGCTCAATGTGTCTCTTTAAATCATATAGCATTAACCCTTTGAAATGAAATGAAATGGGGTTTAACGTCCTACCGTTCTGCTCCGAACTGGGCTAGTGAAGACGGGCATACGCAATACAGTGAGCCGTGAAGGAAATTTTGCCCGGACAGCGGCACTACGGCCACTCTTATATCGAATTCCAACTGTCAAGGTTTTTTTACGGGCACGCCAATGTGAACACGGGACCTCGTTTTTTTCTCCCATCCGAACGACTAGACAGCTGTCCTTGTCAGTCCCTCCGTCCTGCATCACTGACAAGGGGGAACCACACCGGAAAATCTGGTCGGCCAAAGCAGGGATCGAACACCCCTGACGTCCAGGCTAGCGAGCCAGCGTCTTACCCACTTAGCCACCCTGACCCCCTTTACCCTTTGATCTGGACTGATTAATCTACAATTGTTTCATATCAACCAAAATAAACATTATCAGTGTTACATTAACCATAGTAAGAAATGTCAAAACAGTTAAATGTGACCAGTATTCGCCCAAAGATTAATTTCTCTGGATTTAAAAACTGATTGTCCAACTGAATATGAAACAAGTGGGGCACTCACGTATCCCAACATCATTGTACAATACTAATTTAAGCCCAAAATTTTAAAGAACAGCAAATCGGAACCTAATCCAATAAACATCGCAGGCTAGTGATGACATCGAGAGTTGATTATGGTCTGGAATTAATAATTTAGATAACATTTCAGGCCTAAAGAAAGACCTGTAATAGGCAGACTTAGCTCTTGCATAATGTATGTTTAAGTTTACTAAGCTCATAAAATCACTTTTGTCTACAGATGCCCTGTGATAAATGTGACGGCTCCCTGTAAGGAATTGAACCTGAAACTGAAATGAACTCTTTCTTCCCTTACTGTACTTTGATTTACTCACTTAAAAATCGCCTTCATCTACAGATGCCTTGTAACATCTGCGACTGCTTGTGGTACGGAAATGAATTCCAATCTTGAAACACCCTTACTATGAATGATCAAGAAGTAACTATCTGAATTTTCAGTTTATGCTGATAAGCTGCCATTTTTTATTTAAAGAAACAAGGAAATACACAATGACAGTAACATTATTTATGTGAATGCAACTCATTATTAAAATCTAAATTATGTAAATATTAAATCAATTTCATAATTCACTAATAATTAGACTAATAATTATGAAGGCAAACATTAATGGATCTTCACTTGATCCCATTCTGTTCATAGTGGATGTCATGGTGCCGATTCTGACCCCAACTTTGACAATTAAAGTGCCTTTTATCAATGTTAATACGGTTGTGTAAAATAGATTGATGTTAACAGCATTTATATCAGTACATGTCAATTTTATAACCTTACAATGTTACATTTAAGTTTAAATGGACAATGAAATACAAATACATTATAAAGATTACATTAACTTTCTGGGATGTAACAATGTATTAAATTAACAAATTAAATGATTACACAAATCTTGGTGATGCAACAAATTAAATGATTACACAAATCTTGGTGATGTAATGATCTATCAAATTACCAAATTAAATGATTATAGGGATATTTGAAGGCTGTTTATCGAATCAACAATTTAACAGATTACACAAATCTTGGTGATGCAATGATCTATCAAATTAACAAATATATAGAATATATGAACTTTCTGGGTTGAAATGATGAATCAAATTAACAAATTAATAGATGGCATGAACTTTCTGGGGTGAAATGATTACAAATTAATAGATTACATGAAATTTCTGTGGATGCAATGTTTTATCAAATTAACAATTAAAAAATCTTCTGTGGATGCAATGATGTAACAAATAAACAATTTAATAGGTTGTGTGAACATTCTGTGGATGCAGTGTTTTATCAAATTAACAATTTAATTAACAAATTAATAGATGATATGAATGTAACAAATTCATAGATAAGAATTAACCTTCTGAGATGCACTGATGTACGACTTACTTAAAAATTAATAGATTATATGAATGTAACAAATTCATAGACAACAATTAACCTTCTGAGATGCACTGATGTACGACTTACTTAAAAATTAATAGACATGAACTTTCTGGGGAGTAATGATTTAGCAAATGAACATATTAAAAAGATTAGATTACATTAACTTTTTGAGATGGCATAATTTAGCAAATTAACAAATTATTCAATCTGATTAAAATACAAATCTATATTTCGTTCCGTTTTTTTTATACTTTCGATGGCCTACACTACATGAAGATCTGACAAGTTACAGTGGGAGTTTACTTCAGGGGTCTAACGAGCGGCTTTTGACCATATGATGTCAGACATTGATTAATCAATCAGCGTTGACGTTTCTAGTGGTTTACCCTCAGATCCGTGCATAAAAAGGCCTAGAACTCGCCGTAACAGACCGTTTCATTGGCTAATCCCTCAAATCATCCAGAACACGTCAATGATAACATCTCCTCCAGATCCTAGTGTAGTACAGACAAGTAAAACAAAATTTTGAACTATAAAAACGAAACGTAATAGGATCTGTGTTTTAACCAGATTAAAAATTATTGAAACTCAATTTATGAATTTATATTTAATGTTCGCAAATAGTCTTCTGCTCAATCAAAAAAATCAGCACCGAAACATGGACATTAAACCAGTTCACTTAAATCTGCTATATGTCTTCGTTTTTTTATATGAGCTTCAATAATTTTTGAATATTCATCTCTTCGTAGTAACTGATAGGCTAGCGGTAATAAAGATAAAATAGTGGTATGGAAGACACTTCCACCATGTGTGAATAAATCTAATCCTAGTTCTAGTCCCTCACCGTAGTCACACTCATCATTAGCAAACTGTATATATGTTATTAATTCTTGTAGAGGTTCAAAGTTCTTATCTCTTTCTTTATCAGTTTTACTCTCTGCTATTTTTCTCAACATTTTCCTCAAATCAGCTGTAAATATAAAGATAGGTATCTATCAAAGAGATCTATACATTTAAATTATATATTACTCTAACATAATTTAGGACTTTCCTGCTATCACTTTTAACTTAAAATGGTACTAATTTTAACTTTTAACTCTAAACCCACAAATCAGCTGCAAATACAAAGCTGGGTTAACAGGCAATGAAAAACAAACACAACACTGTAATGTTGGCTGGCAGTTCAAGATTTTTCAAACTGATCAAGGGCCATAACTCTGAAGTTAATTATTGGAAATGAAATGGGGTTTAACAACGTCTTTCTTTTCTGCACAAATAATTCTATTGAAGACGGGCATATGTGCATGCCAAAGAGTATAGGACGTTTTTCCATCCCCTCCAAACAGCTAGACACTTTTGCTTTCTGAGCACTGTATCTTGCACCATAACAACCACTTGAGGGAAACCATGCTGGACAATTCAGTGAACCTTAAACAAATTTAATCTCAACAGATACCCACTTCACAAAAAAATCCAAACATCAAATTTCATTTAATTTTTTTTATCCATCAAATGTGTCTGTTCAATTAAATTATATATTACACTTACATATTTCAAGACTGTTCTGGCATCACTTTTAAATCTCACCTTATTAATTTTAAGCTTTTAAAGCTAGAAATGAACTTACCTGGGGTTTCAGGTACTGGTCTATAGCCCACTTCGTTCTCATCTACTGGTACAACTATACCTGCTCCATGTAACGTTTTACATACAACCTTCTTGTCTCTATTTTTAGTAACCTGACTTTTATAATCCAAGTCCATCCCATGCTCCTCTGCATATTCTAGAAATCTCTTTAATAAACTTTCTGTTTTCTTTTTCAAGTCAGAACTCACATCTTTTGATTTAATTTTCTCTTCTAGAAAATATCTGAAAGGAAAGCAATTATGTTACTAGCTTGCCAGTATCAATGCAGACATCAACATTGTTGTTGTCCGTCCTAAAATTCCTTTGCTGCTTGTTTTCATAACTTTATTAATTTTTATTTCAATGGGCTCTCGTAATTTGTTCTTAAGTACAAGACTATCAAAACAATTCAAATTGTATGAGTTCTCTTATCTAACACTAAATGAAATGGGGCTTAACGTCCCACTTTGTTGCACCAAAAGTCTAACGAAGACACCATGCAGTCTGCTACGAGTGAAATTTTGATCCTACAGAGAGAGGTGCTTACACTTATTCTTCCTTGAATTCCAACTGTTAAGGGTTCTTTTACGTGCATGCCAATGATGGACCTAAGTACTTTATCCCATCCAACCGACTAGACATGTTTTGAAAGGTAATCACCATGCAATGAAGAAATTGTTGAAATTCATAACTTGCATAAACGCTGTTTAAAATTTTGGCATGATTTTCAAGATATAGTTGCAATTTACTAACTTTAATGAAGCAAACAAATTCTGTCCTCGAAATACTATGTTACCATTTTCTTTAGCTGAATTAGCTGCTACAAAAGCTGGCATTTCTGCAGGGTCATCTCTGAAAAAACATAAATCATGGTCCACTTCATTTAGATATTTATATGGAAATAAATTTCTGTTTGTTGTCAGTGATACTATTGTAAAATTAACCACATAAAAAATTTGAGGACAATGCATAGATTCATTTTTACAGGAGTTACAGCTCTATGCTTTTCACCCCCCCCCCCCCCCCTCCTTTAAATATGCATTAGCCTCTTAGTATAAAATCTTTATTATAGAAACTAATTCATCATATCTTTGTAAATACTAAACAGAACCAAATCATTGGCCCTGCTTGATTTGTCAATACCAGCGCATACTGGCTGACCACAGTTCAGCAGTTTTTGCGCGAGGTCACTTGATTTCACCGGAAGTCGACAAAAGTTCGGCTGCGGCGTACGCCGAATGCGCCGCTTTGGCGGCAGCGGCAAACACCGGCGCAAGATGGTGAACATGTCAACGAGAAAAAATTCACGTTATTTAGGAATGCCATAAAACACTAATTTTAAAGTGTTAAAATTAAACCAAATGTTTTGAAGTTGAATTTGAGCTTCAAAAAACCAGAAGTTCAAATGTCATTTATTTTTTCTCAGTAACATAACTAATAATAATTTTCTCCTTATTTTGCGGGCACTTTCAGGTCATACTTTCAAGAATACTGTTTTTGATTAAAACATGTCATGTAACCGGTTTAATATTATATCATTATTCGACGCCATATTGTTTATCAGCCCGGTCACTTGATTTGCTTTGATACGGTAACCTGACCGGCGTACGCCGTAGTAGAAACCGGCTCACCTATCGGCGGAAAAATCAAGCAGGCCCAATGTTAAAGATTTCACAATATTCGAAGTCCCACAATTGGCTTTAATTTGGTATTGTATTTATTATCTATTCACTTGTTTGGGGATTTTGCTCAATATTACCAGACCTACAACTACCATATTGTATACAATGTAGGGCTAAATCTACTGTATTGTATGTTACGCAGACCTAAATCTACTGTATTGTATATTAAGCAGGACAACCATTTTACTTACAAAAAGTCTAGGTTTATTTCATATCTTTCTTGTTCTATAAATAAAAAAGTAATGTACTGAGAGAAAGAGAGAGAGAGAGAGAGTTGATTGTCCGCTGGACACAAACAAGGTCATTTCGGGAATAACATACATGTATGGTAGGCCTACAATATTGTTTAGCAGTGGAGAAATCCCACAAGGTTAGACAGAGGCATCCCTACTCCTTGTCACGTAAAAGTGTGGGATCGAAACCACTTTACTTGATGACAGACCTTATGATCTAAAACCTAAAGCGCATTTGTTAGGACCCTTCAGTAATGTACTTAGCCAAACCAATACACATAATAACCCAAGTGACTGGGATTCTCGATCAAATATACACTGGTACTCACCTATAATGACCGAAGTGAAACTGGGATTCTCGGTCAAATACACACTGGTACTCACCTATAATAACCCAAGTGAAACTGGGATTCTTAATCAAATATCCACTAGTACTCACCTTTAATAACCTAAGTGAAACGGGGGATTCTTGGTCAAATATACACTGGTACTCACTCACCTATAATAACCCAAGTGAAACTGTGATTGTCTGTCTCCATTAATAATAGTAGTAAACTCTGGTGGATCATAATAATATCTCCAATGTAATAAATAATTCGGTCTTTTTCCCCGACTGTTTATCTTTACACCTTTATGTTTCCCAGCCAAAATATCAAACGGACCCACTAAGGTAAAGCCTAATGAGGATTTAAATGTTTCTGAAACAAAATGAAAGACAAAATATCTAAAGAAGCAGTCCCAGAATTCACATGATACAGTAAATAAAAATGGGTTTAAATATGTAACAATATAATATATTAACCTTGTCTGAAATTTTCGAATAAATAAAACATACTAAACTGATCCTTGATAATCACAACGAACACTTAATGCTGTAACTCAGTCAAGGATATAGACATGATTGTCCAGTGTGGAATTTGGGGTTACAGTCAAATCCCACAGGGAAACTGAAAGTTGGTATTTTTTTTTCAAAAAGTATTGTACAGCATTCAGATATGTGAATAGGACATGGCATGACTATTTGTTTCTAATGTCGGAGTGTTCATTTGTTAATCAAAAGTGAAAATAGTTTGTACTTTGGGTTGTGGTCTGTTAAAATTATTTTAATACTGGATAATGACCAATCTACAAAGGCTGAAGTTATCTTTTATACCAGTATTGAAATATTAATTACAAAGCAAAATGAGAGTAATCTTTTATTTACTATCAATAAATGAAATATCTAATTTCTGATTTTATTTTTACCTTCTGGATTTCCAGGATTCTCCTTCTTACAAAATTCCCACATTTGATAGAAATCTTCTGCGAATTCTACTAAATATTTCTGTTTAATATTTTCTTTAATATCCTCTGGTGATTTTGGTGCTTCTGAGTCATCAACTTCATCAACTGGCTCTGATTCTTTTCTCTCTGCTAAAATAGAAAAGGTTTAATTAAAGACACAGCCATGTAAAAACAAATTGACAGCAAACTTTATAAATCTTCTATGTTTATGATTAGTGAACCCCCTGATCTGCCTTATTTCTATTGATGCAGAGATAGAATCAGTCTTTCTGTCCATGACACAAAAGTTGTAAAACCGCTTTAATTTAGGTCTGAAAATAATTCCATGACTTACAGGAGCAAAATCTCTTTAATTTAGGTCTATAAAAGTTTAACTTAAACAAGCAAAATCTCTTTACTTTTGAAATTTGTTATATTATATTTCTTAACAAGTGTTGGGCAAGTTCTATAACAAGATTAAATATTAATTTAGAAAGATCAAGAGGAAGATGCTTTGTTTTATTAACTGTTGAACTACTTTGACAAGAAAATTATAACTTGTTAAATGATCTATACCAGAATGACTGGTTGCTTCTTTTTCTTCTTCTTTCTCAGAATCGGCTTTTGATGATCCAGTTTCCACACTCTTTTTAACATCTTCATCATCTGAATTTTTATCCTCCGTCTCATCTACAGCTTCATCATCTATTTTATTCTTCTTCACTAATTCTTCATCCTCCTATAAAATATTAAAATTATTTCTAACAGTACTGCTAGTTGTCCGAATCTTCAAAATAAAAATTTGATAGCCTCTTTCCATGATGATACAATGAACAAAGCATAAAAGAGAGAGGAATTGAGTTTAAAGTCCACTCGACACGAACCAGGTCATATGGTTCAACTTTCTGTCAATAATTTGCTTGTGCCTAGAGAGGTCTTTAGCAGTGGAGGAAACCAGAAGATCCAGTCCAGTGAAAACCCATGCGGTTGAACAGGCGACCCTACTCCTTGTCACGTACAACCAGGGAATCAAAACCATGCCAGTTCACTAAACTAGACCTAATACAATGCACACACGCTAACCATTCGGCCACCACCCCCCTCCCCTCCACCCCCAAAAATAAAAAGTTATAGACCAATTCAGCTGAAATTTGATGTAAGGTCATGGCTAGTCCCCCTGAACATCCCCTAAAGAATTTTAAAGTCCCTACAATCATGGGAACTGGTAGAGGTACTTTACTGAAATAGAAGAACAAAAAAAAAACTTTTGGCCTGGCCCTGGGTGTTAATGTTATGACATGATTTATGGCCATGATTTTTCCATAACCCATGTGCCACTTGGCTGGCAAGCAGTATATTGCTACATGTGTTTGTTATTTGCTAATGTACATGTATGTCAAAAACAAAACATGGTCGTGGTCAAAACTTTTGGTCGTTTTGACTCAAATTTTGGGCCGTTGGGTTTATGCCGTGGCATGTATGTAACAACTCTGTTTTTGACGATTTAAAATGACAGGCCTGTTAACGAGTACATTTCGATTTAAAATCATACTTCATCGTCACGTTTCCTTTTCGATTTTGGATGTCTGTATTGTTTTTGGTGTTGTTGGTTTTGACGATAGCACTTTTCGCCATATTTACACAAAGGACGAAGATCCATTTCCCGCTTGTTGTTCTCTTTACTCTGGCTTCTTTTTGTCAACAAAACATTCGATTAAAAGGTCCCTTTGCTAGAAATGCATGAGTCGACCCTAAGTCCAAAACAAATAGTCAGTCGAATAAACCGGTCGATGGCTTATTAAAATTTTGGAATCGTTTGTAATCTGTATAAGTTAAAGAAAAAACGCACTAATTCCAATATCTTTTATCATTGTTTTTGTTTATTTTTTACGTCCCCTCATGTTCAAATTTGATTGTTCAAATTAAAACTTTAAGGTGTTATCTTAGTTATTGCCACCGCGGCTTAATAAAGTCATGCTTGACTTTTTCCCTCATCCCCATATGCCCCCATCTTTTAAGTGCACGCCAATGTGTACACGGGACCTCGGTTTTTCGTCCCATCCGAACGACTAGACATCTGTCCTTGTCCACCTCCAAAAGAATAGAGTCCCTATATATGATATGTTGGGTTAGGGGGGCGATGGGGATGAGGTATTTGACATTATCATGTGGCCTCGTCCAGTCGATAAAATCAGTCAGTTAGTTCAGTCGAATAATCCAGTCGAATAAACCAGTCGAATAATTCAGTCGAAAAGTTCAGTCGAATAAACCAGTCGAATAGTTCAGTCGAATAATTCAGTCGAATAAACAAGTCGCTCAATATTAAGCAGCGGTGGCAGTGGGCTAAGATGATATGGTAGCAAATCATGCTCTTAGACATAGCTGAAGGAGCCGGGGCATGGGGTAGAGACCGGGGGGCTTCCCAACTAGTTTCAAGAAATGAAAAGAAATGAAATGGGGTTTTAACGTCCTACTGTTCTGCTTGGAACTGGGCTAATGAAGACGGGCATACGCCATACACTGTGCGATGAGGGAAATTTTGCCCGGACAGCGGCACTACGGCCTACTCTTATATCGAATTCCATCTGTTAAGGGATCTTTAACGACCACGTCAATGTGGACACGGGACCTCGGTTTTTCGTCCCATCCGAACGACTAGACAGCTGTCCTTGTCCGCCTCGAAAAGAATAGAGTCCCTATATATGATATGAACGAAGAAAGGGGATGGGGTGGGGCGGGGGTGGGGGGGATGAGGTATTTGACATTTTCATGTGGCCCCGTCCAGTCGATAAAACCAGTCAGTTAGTTCAGTCGAATAATCCAGTCGAATAAACCAGTCGAATAATTCAGTCGAAAAGTTCAGTCGAATAAACCAGTCGAATAGTTCAGTCGAATAATTCAGTCGAATAATCCAGTCGAATAATTCAGTCGAATAAACAAGTCGCTCAATATTAAGCAGCGGTGGCAGCGGGCTAAGATAATATAGTAGCAAATCATGCTCGTAGCCATAGCTGAAGGAGCCGGGGGCATGGGGTAGGGACCGGGGGGCTTCCCAACTAGTTTCAAGAAATGAAAAGAAATGAAATGGGGTTTTAACGTCCTACTGTTCTGCTTGGAACTGGGCTAATGAAGACGGGCAGACGCCATACACTGTGCGATGAGGGAAATTTTGCCCGGACAGCGGCACTACGGCCTACTCTTATATCGAATTCCATCTGTCAAAGGGATCTTTTACATCCACTCCAATGTATACACGGGACCTCGGTTTTTCGTCCCATCCGAAAGACTAGACAGCTGTCCTTGTCCGCCTCGAAAAGAATAGAGTCCCTATATATGATATAAACGAAGAAAGGGGATGGGGTGGGGCGGGGGTGGGGGGGATGAGGTATTTGACATTTTCATGTGGCCTCGTCCAGTCGATAAAACCAGTCAGTTAGTTCAGTCGAATAATCCAGTCGAATAAACCAGTCGAATAATTCAGTCGAAAAGTTCAGTCGAATAGTTCAGTCGAATAGTTCAGTCGAATAATCCAGTGGAATAATTCAGTCGAATAAACAAGTCGCTCAATATTAAGCAGCGGTGGCAGCGGGCTAAGATAATATAGTAGCAAATCATGCTCGTAGCCATAGCTGAAGGAGCCGGGGGCATGGGGTAGGGACCGGGGGGCTTCCCAACTAGTTTCAAGAAATGAAAAGAAATGAAATGGGGTTTAACGTCCTTCTGTTCTGCTTGGAACTGGGCTAATGAAGACGGGCAGACGCCATACACTGTGCGATGAGGGAAATTTTGCCCGGACAGCGGCACTACGGCCTACTCTTATATCGAATTCCATCTGTCAAAGGGATCTTTTACGTCCACTCCAATGTATACACGGGACCTCGGTTTTTCGTCCCATCCGAACGACTAGACAGCTGTCCTTGTCCGCCTCGAAAAGAATAGAGTCCCTATATATGATATGAACGAAGAAAGGGGATGGGGTGGGGCGGGGGGGGGGGGATGAGGTATTTGACATTTTCATGTGGCCTCGTCCAGTCGATAAAATCAGTCAGTTAGTTCAGTCGAATAATCCAGTCGAATAAACCAGTCGAATAATTCAGTCGAAAAGTTCATCCGAATACTTCAGTCGAATAGTTCAGTCGAATACT